GTTCTCTACTTGGTGCCGAGACTCCATTGCTGCAATGAGTTCACCATGACAGATGATCCTTACCACGTGCAAAGACACTTCTTCACTGTCAGCGCTGGATACAGCTGCCTCCGCCTTTCGTAACTCCCCTATACATTCCTCAACTAATCAATATTGACCCGAGTAGGTAGGGACAACTCTATGCCCCTATTCAGCAGGAATAAGTTAAAGAATATGAGACCTTCCACCTTCAACTACCTTAAAGATTTAAGGGTCAAATTGTTCAGCGGGGAATGATGAGGGAGCAGGAGGCTGGCTGAGGACAAAGCAAAAGCTGGCACCTTGCATCCTCTCTCCACCCGCTCCCCTTGGTAATGTTTGTGACATTCCTCAGGCACCCCTGACTGCCCTAAAAGAAAAACAAATAGGTAACTTGCAGAGATCACAATCCTGCAAGACAGAGTCTCCCTTGGTTTACGAATGTCCTAGAGATTTACAACAAAGAAGCTATCTAACAACAGCACAATTTCCAGAGGCAAATAACTCAGTTCCTCAAACCCTAAATAAAGTTAAATTTCTTCTAAACCCAAATCTCACTAACAAGGACACTTGATAGGAGAAATGTGAAACTTTATCTCTAGATCTACAAGATAGTGTCGAGAATCATTCCCAAGCATATGGCCCACTGATAATACATCTAAAGGGTCTCACAAGAAGATTTTTACTACTAGTAATGAATAACCTTTCTCCCAACAATAGCTAGTCCCTCCAGGTCCTGGAGACCTTGATTCCAAAATTCCTTAGAGACTAACATTACCCTCTTTGTCCTTACCTACCCCATTCCTGTGTATATAATCAGCCACTCCTCAGGATAACTGCGCAGCATCTCCGTCTGCCCACGGGTCCTGTCCCCGTGCTCTAATAAACCACCTTTTTGCACCAAAGATGTCTTAAGAATTCTTTCTTAGCCATCGGCTCTGAATCTCACCCCATTGAACCTCACCTAGGTTCAAGAACTTCAACTGGAGATGGATTTTCCAAATATTCCCGAGTCTAAGGGGATATTGGCAGAATAGACCTTTGGGGATGATAACGTGGGATGTATTCAGGTATATGTGGAAGCCCCGGGTTTGCCCAGAGTTTAATATCTCAGACTAGACATCTGGGTGGAAACCAAGCACTCCCATGCACCAACAGGTCCATCAGTCCTTGCTTCATGAAAACAGAACAATTGAGAGTGAACACAGGCTGCGAGAGGCTTTGCTGGGTGCGTGGTTGTGGAACTCTGAGACATTGGTTTCCTCACCCATAGAATTAAGACAATAATGACAACAACCTGGCAGAAGTGGGGCCAGGGGGACTCTAGCCCAAACTGGTGTCTTAACACCAGTCGCCTAACACAAGAACACCCGAGCACTGGGCGGATTCAATGGAGCAAACAAGGTGGTTGAGTCTGACATATTTCTAGCCCAGTGATGCATATATGTTTGGGGTAGGAAAAACAAAAGAGCGGGGAAGTTGGTTCAGTTGTTGCATCCACCCAGCGGCTTACTTGTGTAGGTCAGAATTAAGTCTTCCTGTTTCTTAGTGGACTAAAGTGTTTTCCAAATTGGACAGAGAAGCCAACGTGTTGCTGAGGTGACTTCTCTGCGCATGAGCTCAGGCACAGTTTCCTGAGTGTTTGCTGTGTGCTGGACACGTGACCAGGGCACACAGTGCCTCCCTTTGTGGATGCCACAGACATTCCACAGAAGATCACAGGTCAGGGCTGTGGAGGAGGACAGGGCACCACTAAACCCCAACAAGCATGTGTATGGGGCTCAGACAGGGATAATCAGGTTGGCAAAGGCCACTCTGAGGGAGGTCACCTTAGGTGAGACTGATTCCAGTCTCCATTCGGTGACCAGTTTGGGGGATGAGAGAGAAGAGGAACATCCAGGGGCTTGTGAGAAGGCCTGAGTCTGGGAAAGCTCTATGAAGTGGAGGAACGCTGCCAGGCCAGGAGGGAGCACTGGGAGCAGTGGAATGAGATCAGAGAGGAAGCTGGGGCCCCGGAGCCACAGACAAGTGGTTTAGCAGGGGGATCCCTGGAAGGGGTGAAGCAGAGCTGATATAAGATGATTTGAGAGGTTATAACCTTGGATGGAAAACGAATTTGATAGGGCGAAGCTAGAGGTGGGCAGGGGACGCCCATGGGGAAGCAGGGACACCATGTTTGGGTGAGGGGGGAAATGAGTTGGGTGTAGAACTAGAAGGTAGCCCTGGATATGGATTAGAGAAAAGTCTTGAACTTTCTGGTGCACTGGCAGCAGACAGGGTGGGAAAGTGTCATGTGCCTGAAACTGGCAGGCATAACTGGGTGAACCCAGGTGTCCTTTACTGAGATGGTGAACTGCAGTAAGGGAGAGGCTGGAAAGGAAGCCCTAGTGCTCCACGGTGTTCCTTCAGAGACCAGGGAACCCACTTTTCCTGGTGCACACTGGTGGGGAGGGGCTGAATGGTCCACCCAGGCCTTGTGTGATAGTAAAGTATTAAGAAGCCACAAGGTGCTGTCCATTCAGCTGGGGCAGGGCCAGTGTCCTGGAGTTGGTCCTGGAAGATTCTGTGATGCTCAGGCTTAACCCCTCCTTTGCCACACTGTGGGGAGCACCTGGGTCATCTCCCGGTGAAGAAAAGTAGCTGCACTGGGTCTTATCAAAGGCTCCTGCCACATAGCATTCACCAGCTGACAGGATTCACCAACCAACAGAATAGTTTTGGTAGTGAACAGAAAGTACAAGTAGCCCCAAGCATAGGGCTTTTTTAATCTTGGCTGTGCCACACACACTCCTTGCTCCTGGTCTAGAAGCTAACCAGCCTGGAGGGTGGCAGTTGTTCAACAAAGGATTATGGAATCTGCATCTCTGTGTGTCCGCATGCAGAGTGGGTCTGTGTATCTGTACCTGCCCTGTTTCTTTGGCTCTGATCATGCTGTTTCCTTCCTGATAACTAGGGTGCACTGTCTAGTGGGCAGGGCAGTCTGCTATGCCACTTCCAGTCGGCGAACGGGATTAGAATTAGGCACAAACAAGTCAGCTGCAAGAGATTGGGATCAGGGGACAACAGTCGAAAAGACTGCTGCCCGGAGTAACTCCATAGCCTCGCTTTTATTAGATAGAAATAGTAACCAACAGAAGAGTCGATGAAGGTCAAACAGTCATATGCCTTGTAGATAAGCAAGAAGGAGGGCAGAATATGTCTGTACAAGTAGTATAAAGTTTATAGTTGAACAAGCACATTCAAAGGATTTATCTAAGTAGCCACAGGTGCTCTTTGGGGGGAAAGGGGCGATAACGGAAAAATGTAGCAGGCGGCGTTCCACCCTGAGCGAGCCGGGCATCCCCAGCTGCTCAGCTTCAAGGCCATATATTGTCCTCTTCCCCCAGAGGCCTGTTGCAGTATCTGTTTTTCTTAAGGCTGTATCTAAATGTACTTGGTAACTAGTAAAATTTCCCGGGGGTATATTTTAAGTAATACATTGTTCTGAGGGGCAGTTGCACTGCTAGGGTTTCATTTTGTAAGCTTTCACATTCCAAGGGTGGAAGGGGTCAGCACAGGAATCTTCTGTCTGGGAGTGCTGAGTGCCCCAGGTCCCTGTTTCAGCTGAGATCTCTGCAACCTGTGCCCAGCTGTGCTTCTCCAACTCTCCGGGAACCAGATGCCAGACAAGAGGAGCCTGTGGCACCAATGTTGGATCTGGAAGCAGGGTTTGGGGCTTGAGCAGTGAACTGCATGTGCAATCTCTGAGAGCTCATTTGGGGCTGGCTGAGGTTTCACAATACTGAGTTAGAGACACTCCAGAAGCCCCAAGTTTTCAAGCAGGTGAGTGGGTTCAGAAGACGCTTGCTGGACAAGAAGAGGAAAGTGGGGAGCAGATGATTGGGAGGAGGACGCTGAGATCCTGGTGGGGATAGGGGGCTGGTGTGAATAATAATGAGGCTCTGAGAGGACCCAGGACAACTACAGTGGGGGCTGAACTTTATTCATTTACTTAAAGATGTTTGTGTAGTGTTCCTAGGACCAGGCACTGTTCTAATGTGCACTGACTCTCCATATATAAGTTCATAGGATATTTCTTATACCATGGGATGAGATCTTATTACTCTCTCCATATTGCAGATAGGACCTGGGGCAGAGGAGGTCAAGAAACTTGCCTCAGGTGATTCCCACAACGGGTGGCTTAGTATGGAGGTTAGCAGTCAGCCCCAGAATCTGTCCTTCCCAGGACCACTGGGGCCTCAGAGTCAATGGTTTGAAGCCCTTCTTTTTGACCAGGTCTCATTTTATCCTGTGCTTCCCACTGATCTGCTGGGATCCCTTATCCTGAGGCAGAAACTCCTCAAAGATAGAGAAGACAAGGATTAACCATTTTGGGGAATTGTCTGGCTTCAGCTATGAGTAATTCCATGTCCTTGATCCTGAGCAGAAAAGGGCTGCAGGAGGCAGGAGCTGAAATCAGGGTGAATTCACCTATCAAAGGACCCCAGAATAACGTGCATGTGGTGGGAGCCACAGTGTCCTTGAGGAGGATGCAGTCTGTCATGCTTTTCATGGTCATAATTAGGGGGCAGCAGAAGAACAGCACATAGGAGCTGGTGTGTCCTTCATGGGGAGGGCCCTGAGTCTACACCTTGTGTCCCTGGACGTCTGTGGTGTCCTGTGTCCTGTGACTTATGCAGACATGGAGGTGTCCCGTGACTCATGCAGACATGAAGGAGGCCACTGTGCTGAGCTGGAAAGGGTCTGGTCCTGTGGGCAGAGCAGGCTGGGAAAGTTTCCAAAGGGCTGGGCGGGCTTTCCTGGCATCAGGGTTGTGGGGCCCCCAACCCCATCAGCATACGGAGCAGTAGGAAAGGCTGTGCTCCTGCTAGGGACAGTTGCCAGCCCTGAGCCCTGCTGTCTTCTCTGAGGCCCAGAGCTGTGGGATGGCCCTGCCTCCTCTCTGGAGGTGTTTACCTGCCTCCTGCCCTGTGTCTCCCCAGCTCTGAGGAAATGGAGGATTACTGCAGGGGCTCTTTGCTCTCCCATCTCCCCTCCCTGCTCTTCCTCTTCCAGCTGCCTGCTGGGGGCTCTGCAGGTGAGTGTGTCCTCTCCCCCTCCCTGTGTCTCCTGGGAGTGGGTGAGAGCCCCTGGAGCTCTGCTGGAGCCTCCATCAGGACACATGGTTATTGGTGGAGTCCCTGGCTCTAGACAGATTCTGGAGATCCCCAACTGCTATTTGAAATTAAACACATAGAGGGGGGAGACAGGATGGCGGGGAAGTAGGAGGAGGCACCGTTTCAACCTCTACCCTAAAGTGAGCTGATTACCTACCAAAGAACTCCAATCACCCATGAAATCAGTTGAGATCAGAATTGCACATGTCTGGATCTCTACGGGGGCAGAATATGCCAGTGGGTAGGTAAAGTAAGTGGAAAGTAGGACTGATACTGGAAGATAAACAAAAGGGGGAGGGAGCCGCCAGAGGTGACCGATTGGAAAGTACTATCCCAATACAAGAGTGCCCTGCATCTGGGGACCAGCATAACTTGGAGTCTGGTTGAAAGCACTCAAAAAGAGCAAAGGACCATGGGGGGAAATTGTGGGCATGGGGGCAGTTAGGGACAGGGTCTTAAGTCCCAGGACCCAGGACAGCCACCCCTGGCGCTAAGCCAGAGAGAGTGCAGCGGAGAAACCAGGTGTTGGTCCCTGAGCCGCCAGCACGCCAGAGAACGGGTGGTGTCAGGCTCCTGTGAGGGGCTGGGAGCCTTGCCAGATGGCAAAACGCGGTGCTGTGCTATCAGAGCTTGAGACGCGAGTGCCCCACACCCTCCCCTGAGAGAGGTGCTTTCAAGCCCTGTTCGCTCAGACCAGGAAAGACCAGGCACTCCTAGCCTGGGTTAGCAGGAAAATCTGTGTGTGATTGCTGCTTGGAACCTCTCTGGTGGTCTGGAGCTGCCCAGACAGCCATCGCTGCTGTGGTTTTGGGTACAAGCAGGAGATCCTGCATCTCCAGGGACCATGACTCAGAACCTGCTCTGCCAGCGGCCCAGGGGAAACTTAATGTGCTCTGGAAACCCAGAGGGGAACAGACTGAGGCTTCTCTCTGAGAGGGAGGTCCGGGTGCAGTTTGCTTTCCTCTAAACCTCCAAAATCCATCAAAAGCTGTCAAGGCGAGACAAAACAAATGAACAAATATGAAAACCTCCAGAGAACAAAAGCCTGAAAAACCAGTTTCCTCAGAGCCCACACCCTTGAGGGGGCCGGGAGAATTTAACTCAGGGAACATTAGTGACTGAAAACCCACTTGGCAAGCCCCTCCCCCCAGAAAACCAACCAGGAAAGAAAAAAAAAAAGATGACAAGAGAATAACCACCACTACATCATAGATAGAACTATTATTTTTAACTCGTTTCCACTACTCTGGTTCATTTTTTTAAATATAGATAACTTTTTAACCTATTTACCATCACAGTGAGCTGTCCAATACATCAAATTCCATAATAACCTTCTAACATGAACTTTTTTTTTCTTCTTTCTTCTTTTTCTTTCTTTCTTTCTTTTTTTTTAAAAAATTTTTTTTTTTTCAGCGTAACAGTATTCATTGTTTTTTCACCACACCCAGTGCTCCTGCAATCCGTGGCCTCCCTAATACCCACCACCTAGTTCCTCCAACCTCCCACCCCCTGCCCCTTCAAAACCCTCAGGTTGTTTTTCAGAGTCCATAGTCTCTCATGGTTCACCTCCCCTTCCAATTTCCCTTAACTCCCTTCTCCTCTCCATCTCCCCTTGTCCTCCATGTTATTTGTTATGCTCCACAAATGAGTGCAAACATATGATAATTGGCTCTCTCTGCTTGACTTATTTCAGTCAGCATAAACTCTTCCAGTCCCATCCATGTTGCTACAAAAAGTGGGTATTCATCCTTTCTGATATAGGCATAATACTCCATAGTGTATATGGACCACATCTTCCTTATCCATTCGTCCGTTGAAGGGCATCTTGGTTCTTTCCACAGTTTGGCGACCATGTCCATTGCTGCTATAAACATTGGGGTACAGATGGCCCTTCTTTTCACTACATCTGTATCTTTGGGGTAAATACCCAGTAGTGCAATTGCAGGGTCCTAGGGAAGCTCTATTTTTAATTTCTTGAGGAATCTCCACACTATTTTCCAAAGTGGCTGTACTAATTTGCATTCCCACCAACAGTGTCAGAGGATTCCCCTTTCTCCACATCCTCTCCAACACACGTTGGTTCCTGTCTTGCTAATTTTGGCCATTCTAACTGGTGTAAGGTAGTATCTCAATGTGGTTTTAATTTGAATCTCCCTGATGGCTAGTGATGATGAACACTTTTTCATGTGTCTGATAGCCATTTGTATGTCTTCATTGGAAAAGTGTCTGTTCATATCTTCTGCCCATTTTTTGATAAGATTACCTGTTTTGTGTGGGTTGAGTTTGAGGTGTTCTTTTTAGATCCTGGACATCAGCCTTTTGTCTGTACTGTCATTTGCAAGTATCTTCTCCCATTCTGTGGGTTGCCTCTTTCTTTTCTTGATGGTTTCCTTTGCGTTCAGAAGCTTTTGATCTTGATGAAGTCCCAAAAGTTCATTTTCACTTTTGTTTCCTTTGCCTTTGGAGACATATCTTGAAAGAAGTTGCTGTGGCTGATATCGAAGAGGTTACTGCCTATGTTCTACTCTAGGATTCTGATGGATTCCTGTCTCACGTTGAGGTCTTTTATCTATTTCGAGTTTAACTTTATGTATAGTGTAAGAGAATGATCGAGTTTCATTCTTCTACATATAGCTGTCCAGTTTTCCCAGCACCCTTTATTGAAGAGACTGTCTTTTATCCACTGGATATTTTTTCCTGTTTTGTCAAAGATTACTTGACCATAGAGTTGAGGTTCCATATCTGGGCTCTCTACTCTGTTCCACTGGTCTATGTGTCTGTTTTTATGCCAGTACCGTGCTGTTTTGGTGATCACAGCTTTGTAGTAAAGCTTGAAATCAGGTAACGTGATGCCGCCAGTTTTATTTTTGTTTTTCAACATTTCCTTAGCGATTTGGGATTTCTTCTGATTCCATACAAATTTTAGGATTATTTGCTCCAGCTCTTTGAAAAATACCAGTGGATTTTAATCGGAATGCTATTAAAAGTATAGATTGCTCTAGGCAGTATAGACATTTTAACAAATTGTTAACCTGAACTTTTTGGTACATACACCCGTGTTTTTCTTTTGCTTTTCTATTTTTTAAATTTTTTTTAAATTTTAGTTTAGTTTAGTTTACTCTTTTTTTAATTTTTCTTTTCTAATATTCATATAGAGTTAAACTTCAAGATAATCCCCTTTCCCCAATCAATGCTACCCCTATAGGTAAACCAATTTTTAATCCCCTTTTATCTTAGGAAAGTTGAGTCCTTTAACAAAGATATCAGGATACATCCAGGAAGAATCAAAATAACCTTCTTCGCCCACACTGATAATTTATAACCACTCTCCCATCTTTTTCTTCCACCAGTGTTTCTGTGTATTTGTGTTTGTCTTGAGAGTATATAAATCTTATACTTGGGGTTCATTTTCATGAGGTTGTTCCTTTTTTTGCTTTTATATATATATATTTTTTTCTCTTGTTATATAATTTTATCAGTCTTTTTGTTTGTCTGTTTTTGTTTGTATACTTCATACATCTTACCTTGGGGCCCATTTGGGCTGAGCCTTCTCTTTTATCTTCCCTTTTTTCCCGGTCTCTCTCTCTCTTTTCCTTCTTTTTCTTTTCTTTTTTCTCTCATTTGGGTGGGGAATCCTGATTGCTCAGAAGCATTCCTGGGTGCACCTTGACTGCACCATGGTTGATACATACAGCTGCATCTGTTCTGTCATCTCTCACCAAAATGACTAGGAGGAGGAATGCCCAAAAGAAGAAAAATACAGAGGATGGGCCTTCTGCAACAGAGCTAATGGCTATCAACATAGACAATATGTTGGAAAGAGAATTCAGGCTAACAATTATCCAGGCAATAGCTAGGTTGGAGAAAGCCATGGACTACCAAACGGAATTGATTAGGGCAGAACTGAAAGCCACGAGGGATGAGGTTCACAATGTTAGGACAGATATGAAAGCCACTAGGGATGAGGTTCACAATGCTCTCAATGACTTCCAATCTAATCTAAATTCTCTAAAATGTATCTATCAATAATCACTCTCAATGTGAATGGCCTCAATGTGCCCATAAAATGACACAGGGTTGCAGATTGGATAAAACGACAGGACCCATCCATATGTTGTCTACAAGAGACCCATTTTGAATGTAAAGATACACCCAGACTGAAAGTGAAGGGATGGAGAAGCATCTTTCATGTCTATGGGCCTCAAAAGAAGGCCGGGGTAGTGATTCTCAGATCAGATAAATTAGATTTTAAACTAAAGACAGTAGTCAGAGATACAGAAGGACACTACATCATTCTTAAAGGGACTATCCACCAAGATGATCTAACAATTGTAAATATTTATGCCACCAATATGGGAGCAACCAATTACATAAGAAAACTATTAATCAAGATAAAGAGTCATATTGATATGAATACATTAATAGTAGGAGATCTTAACACTCCTCTCTCAGTAATAGACAGATCATCCAAGCAGAAAATCAATAAAGAAATGAGCATTGAATGACACATTGGACCAGATGGACCTCATAGATATATACAGAACATTCCACCCTAAAACAACAGAATACTCATTCTCCTCAAGTGCACATGGAACCTTCTCAAGAATAGACCACATACTGGGTCACAAATCAGAACTCAACGGATACCAAAAGACTGATATTATTCCCTGCATATTCTCAAACCACACTGCTTTGAAACTGGAGCTCAATCACAAGGAAAAGTTCGGAAAAAACTCAAACACCTGGAAGCTAAAGACCACCTTGCTTAAGAATGCTAGGATCAACCAGGAGATCAAAGAAGAACTTAAACAATTCATGGAAACCAATGAGAATGAAGACACTTTGGTCCAAAACCTATGGGATACAGCAAAGGCGGTCCTAAGGGAGAAATACATAGCCATCCAAGCCTCCCTCAAAAAAA